GGGGTTACTCTGGGGTGACACTGGGGTGACACAGGGAGGACGTGGGAGGACATGAGGGGACATGGGGTGATGTGGACATGGGAGGACACAGGAATGTGGGGTGCCATGGGGTGTCACGGGGATGTGGGGTGCCATGGGGTGCCATGGGGTGCCGTGGGGTGCCATGGGGTGCCGTGGGGTGCCGTGGGGTGTCACGGGGTGTCACCTTGTGGTATCTGTGTGGCCAGGGGGGAGGAGATGGTGACGAAGTGTCTCTCTCGGCAGCCGTAGTGCACGGGCATCTGCCGGCCGCGGCCGGGGTCGCTGGCGTTGCCGTAACACTGCGCCATGAACAGCTCCAGGGGGTACCCCCGGTACAGCAGCACCCCTGGGGGGCACACGCGTGTGTCACGGGGTGTCACACCCCTTGGGGACACCCCCGCCACCCCCCAACCCCGGGGGACACACACACGTACCCGCCTCCCGGTACTGCCCGAACACCAGGTCGGTGGCCTCCAGCGCGGCCGCGCTGCCCACGTGGGTGCCCTCCTCCCCGTAGTTGGTCATGTAGAAGGACACATGGCCCTAGGACACACACATGCATGTCACGGCGTGTCACCGTGTCCACACGTGTCACCTGTGTCCCCATGTGTCACCTGTGTCACCCTGTGTCAGCCTATGACACCCAGTGTCACCACAACTCTGCATCTCCCCATGTTTCTCCTCCCCATGGTTGGTCATGTAGAAGGAGATGCGGCCCTGGGGGGGACACACGCGTGTGTCATGGGGTGTCACCGTGTCCATACGTGTCACCCCGTGTCACCTGTGTCACCCTGTGTCAGCCTATGACACCCAGTGTCACCACAACTCTGCATCTCCCCATGTTTCTCCTCCCCATGGTTGGTCATGTAGAAGGAGATGCGGCCCTAGGACACACACACGCGTGTGTCACGGGGTGTCACCGAGTCCATACGTGTCACCCTATGTCACCTGTGTCACCCTGTGTCACCCCATGTCAGCCCATGACCCCCCATGTCCCCACGTCTCTGCATCTCCCCATGTTTCTCCTCCCCATGGTTGGTCATGTAGAAGGAGATGCGGCCCTAGGACACACACACGCGTGTGTCACGGGGTGTCACCGAGTCCATACGTGTCACCCTATGTCACCTGTGTCACCCTGTGTCACCCCATGTCAGCCCATGACCCCCCATGTCCCCACGTCTCTGCATCTCCCCATGTTTCTCCTCCCCATGGTTGGTCATGTAGAAGGAGATGCGGCCCTAGGACACACACACGCGTGTGTCACGGGGTGTCACCGAGTCCATACGTGTCACCCTATGTCACCTGTGTCACCCTGTGTCACCCCATGTCAGCCCATGACCCCCCATGTCCCCACGTCTCTGCATCTCCCCATGTTTCTCCTCCCCATGGTTGGTCATGTAGAAGGAGATGCGGCCCTAGGACACACACACGCGTGTGTCACGGGGTGTCACCGTGTCCATACGTGTCACCCCATGTCACCTGTGTCACCCTGTGTCACCCCATGTCAGCCCATGACCCCCCATGTCCCCACGTCTCTGCATCTCCCCATGTTCCTCATCCCCTCCTCCCCGTAGTTGGTCATGTAGAAGGAGATGCGGCCCTAGGACACACACACGCGTGTGTCACGGGGTGTCACCGAGTCCATACGTGTCACCCTATGTCACCTGTGTCACCCTGTGTCACCCCATGTCAGCCCATGACCCCCCATGTCCCCACGTCTCTGCATCTCCCCATGTTCCTCATCCCCTCCTCCCCGTAGTTGGTCATGTAGAAGGAGATGCGGCCCTAGGACACACACACGCGTGTGTCACGGGGTGTCACCGAGTCCATACGTGTCACCCTATGTCACCTGTGTCACCCTGTGTCACCCCATGTCAGCCCATGACCCCCCATGTCCCCACGTCTCTGCATCTCCCCATGTTCCTCATCCCCTCCTCCCCGTAGTTGGTCATGTAGAAGGAGATGCGGCCCTAGGACACACACACGCGTGTGTCACGGGGTGTCACCGAGTCCATACGTGTCACCCTATGTCACCTGTGTCACCCCAAGTCACCCCGTGTCAGCCTATGTCACCCCGTGTCCCCACATCCCCATGTCCCACACCCACGTGGGTGCCCTCCTCCCCGTAGTTGGTCATGTAGAAGGAGATGCGGCCCTGGGGGGGACACACGCGTGTGTCATGGGGTGTCACCGTGTCCATACGTGTCACCCCGTGTCACCTGTGTCACCCTGTGTCAGCCTATGACACCCAGTGTCACCACAACTCTGCATCTCCCCATGTTTCTCCTCCCCATGGTTGGTCATGTAGAAGGAGATGCGGCCCTAGGACACACACACGCGTGTGTCACGGGGTGTCACCGTGTCCATACGTGTCACCCCATGTCACCTGTGTCACCCTGTGTCAGCCCATGTCAGCCCATGACACCCCATGTCCCCACGTCTCTGCATCTCCCCATGTTCTTCCACCCCGTAGTTGGTCATGTAGAAGGAGATGCGGCCCTGGGGGGACACACACATGTGTGTCATGGGGTGTCACCGTGTCCACATGTGTCACCTGTGTCACCCCAAGTCACCCCGTGTCAGCCTATGTCACCCCGTGTCCCCACATCCCCATGTCCCACACCCACGTGGGTGCCCTCCTCCCCGTAGTTGGTCATGTAGAAGGAGATGCGGCCCTGGGGGGGACACACGCGTGTGTCATGGGGTGTCACCGTGTCCATACGTGTCACCCCGTGTCACCTGTGTCACCCTGTGTCAGCCTATGACACCCAGTGTCACCACAACTCTGCATCTCCCCATGTTTCTCCTCCCCATGGTTGGTCATGTAGAAGGAGATGCGGCCCTAGGACACACACACGCGTGTGTCACGGGGTGTCACCGTGTCCATACGTGTCACCCCATGTCACCTGTGTCACCCTGTGTCAGCCCATGTCAGCCCATGACACCCCATGTCCCCACGTCTCTGCATCTCCCCATGTTCTTCCACCCCGTAGTTGGTCATGTAGAAGGAGATGCGGCCCTGGGGGGGCACACACGTGTGTGTCACGGGGTGTCACCGTGTCACCACGTGTCATCTGTGTCACCACATGTCACCCCGTGTCGCCCTGTGTCACCCAGTGTCACCACAACCCTGCATCTCCCCATGTTCCTCATCCCCTCCTCCCCGTAGTTGGTCATGTAGAAGGAGATGCGGCCCTGGGGGGACACACACATGTGTGTCACGGGGTGTCACCGTGTCACCACGTGTCATCTGTGTCACCCCATGTCACCCCATGTCAGCCCATGACACCCAGTGTCACCACGTCTCTGCATCTCCCCATGTTTCTCCTCCCCATGGTTGGTCATGTAGAAGGAGATGCGGCCCTAGGACACACACACGCGTGTGTCACGGGGTGTCACCGTGTCCATACGTGTCACCCCATGTCACCTGTGTCACCCTGTGTCAGCCCATGTCAGCCCATGTCAGCACATGACACCCCATGTCCCCACGTCTCTGCATCTCCCCATGTTCTTCCACCCCGTAGTTGGTCATGTAGAAGGAGATGCGGCCCTGGGGGGACACACACATGTGTGTCATGGGGTGTCACCGTGTCCACATGTGTCACCTGTGTCACCCCAAGTCACCCCGTGTCAGCCTATGTCACCCCGTGTCCCCACATCCCCATGTCCCACACCCACGTGGGTGCCCTCCTCCCCGTAGTTGGTCATGTAGAAGGAGATGCGGCCCTGGGGGGGACACACGCGTGTGTCATGGGGTGTCACCGTGTCCATACGTGTCACCCCGTGTCACCTGTGTCACCCTGTGTCAGCCTATGACACCCAGTGTCACCACAACTCTGCATCTCCCCATGTTTCTCCTCCCCATGGTTGGTCATGTAGAAGGAGATGCGGCCCTAGGACACACACACGCGTGTGTCACGGGGTGTCACCGTGTCCATACGTGTCACCCCATGTCACCTGTGTCACCCTGTGTCAGCCCATGTCAGCCCATGACACCCCATGTCCCCACGTCTCTGCATCTCCCCATGTTCTTCCACCCCGTAGTTGGTCATGTAGAAGGAGATGCGGCCCTGGGGGGACACACACATGTGTGTCATGGGGTGTCACCGTGTCCACATGTGTCACCTGTGTCACCCCAAGTCACCCCGTGTCAGCCTATGTCACCCCGTGTCCCCACATCCCCATGTCCCACACCCACGTGGGTGCCCTCCTCCCCGTAGTTGGTCATGTAGAAGGAGATGCGGCCCTGGGGGGGCACACACGTGTGTGTCATGGGGTGTCACCGTGTCCATACGTGTCACCCCGTGTCACCTGTGTCACCCTGTGTCAGCCTATGACACCCAGTGTCACCCCTACAACTCTGCATCTCCCCATGGTTGGTCATGTAGAAGGAGATGCGGCCCTAGGGGGGGCACACGCGTGTGTCACGGGGTGTCACCGTGTCCCCACGTGTCATCTGTGTCACCACATGTCACCTTGTGTCACCCCATGTCACCCCATGTCAGCCTATGACAAGTCGCGTCACCATGACTCTGCATCTCCCCATGTTCCTCCTCCCCATGGTTGGTCATGTAAAAGGAGATGCGGCCCTAGGGGGGGCACACGCGTGTGTCACGGGGTGTCACCGTGTCCACACGTGTCATCTGTGTCCCCACGTGTCACCCATGTCACCCCAAGTCACCCTGTGTCACCCCATGTCACCCCATGACACCCCATGTCCCCACGTCCCTGCATCTCCCCATGTTCCTCTGTCCCCTCCTCCCCGTAGTTGGTCATGTGGAAGGAGATGCAGCCCTGGGGGGGACACATGCGTGTGTCACGGGGTGTCACCGTGTCCACACATGTCACCCCGTGTCACCCCATGTCACCCCATGACACCCCATGTCCCCACGTCCCTGCATCTCCCCATGTTCCTCATGTAGAAGGAGATGCGGCCCTGGGGGAGACACACGTGTGTGTCACGGGGTGTCACCGTGTCCACACATGTCACCCCGTGTCACCCCATGTCACCCCATGACACCCCATGTCCCCACGTCCCTGCATCTCCCCATGTTCCTCATGTAGAAGGAGATGCGGCCCTGGGGGAGACACACGTGTGTGTCACGGGGTGTCACCGTGTCCACACATGTCACCCCGTGTCACCCCATGTCACCCCATGACACCCCATGTCCCCACGTCCCTGCATCTCCCCATGTTCCTCATGTAGAAGGAGATGCGGCCCTGGGGGAGACACACGTGTGTGTCACGGGGTGTCACCGTGTCCACACATGTCACCCCGTGTCACCCCATGTCACCCCATGACACCCCATGTCCCCACGTCCCTGCATCTCCCCATGTTCCTCATGTAGAAGGAGATGCGGCCCTGGGGGAGACACACGTGTGTGTCACGGGGTGTCACCGTGTCCACACATGTCACCCCGTGTCACCCCATGTCACCCCATGACACCCCATGTCCCCACGTCCCTGCATCTCCCCATGTTCCTCATGTAGAAGGAGATGCGGCCCTGGGGGAGACACACGTGTGTGTCACGGGGTGTCACCGTGTCCACACATGTCACCCCGTGTCACCCCATGTCACCCCATGACACCCCATGTCCCCACGTCCCTGCATCTCCCCATGTTCCTCATGTAGAAGGAGATGCGGCCCTGGGGGAGACACACGTGTGTGTCACGGGGTGTCACCGTGTCCACACATGTCACCCCGTGTCACCCCATGTCACCCCATGACACCCCATGTCCCCACGTCCCTGCATCTCCCCATGTTCCTCATGTAGAAGGAGATGCGGCCCTGGGGGAGACACACGTGTGTGTCACGGGGTGTCACCGTGTCCACACATGTCACCCCGTGTCACCCCATGTCACCCCATGACACCCCATGTCCCCACGTCCCTGCATCTCCCCATGTTCCTCATGTAGAAGGAGATGCGGCCCTGGGGGAGACACACGTGTGTGTCACGGGGTGTCACCGTGTCCACACATGTCACCCCGTGTCACCCCATGTCACCCCATGACACCCCATGTCCCCACGTCCCTGCATCTCCCCATGTTCCTCATGTAGAAGGAGATGCGGCCCTGGGGGAGACACACGTGTGTGTCACGGGGTGTCACCGTGTCCACACATGTCACCCCGTGTCACCCCATGTCACCCCATGACACCCCATGTCCCCACGTCCCTGCATCTCCCCATGTTCCTCATGTAGAAGGAGATGCGGCCCTGGGGGAGACACACGTGTGTGTCACGGGGTGTCACCGTGTCCACACATGTCACCCCGTGTCACCCCATGTCACCCCATGACACCCCATGTCCCCACGTCCCTGCATCTCCCCATGTTCCTCATGTAGAAGGAGATGCGGCCCTGGGGGAGACACACGTGTGTGTCACGGGGTGTCACCGTGTCCACACATGTCACCCCGTGTCACCCCATGTCACCCCATGACACCCCATGTCCCCACGTCCCTGCATCTCCCCATGTTCCTCATGTAGAAGGAGATGCGGCCCTGGGGGAGACACACGTGTGTGTCACGGGGTGTCACCGTGTCCACACATGTCACCCCGTGTCACCCCATGTCACCCCATGACACCCCATGTCCCCACGTCCCTGCATCTCCCCATGTTCCTCATGTAGAAGGAGATGCGGCCCTGGGGGAGACACACGTGTGTGTCACGGGGTGTCACCGTGTCCACACATGTCACCCCGTGTCACCCCATGTCACCCCATGACACCCCATGTCCCCACGTCCCTGCATCTCCCCATGTTCCTCATGTAGAAGGAGATGCGGCCCTGGGGGAGACACACGTGTGTGTCACGGGGTGTCACCGTGTCCACACATGTCACCCCGTGTCACCCCATGTCACCCCATGACACCCCATGTCCCCACGTCCCTGCATCTCCCCATGTTCCTCATGTAGAAGGAGATGCGGCCCTGGGGGAGACACACGTGTGTGTCACGGGGTGTCACCGTGTCCACACATGTCACCCCGTGTCACCCCATGACACCCAGTGTCCCCACGACTCTGCATCTCCCCATGTTCCTCATCCCCTCCTCCCCACGGTTGGTCATGTAGAAGGAGATGCGGCCCTGGGGGAGACACACGTGTGTGTCACGGGGTGTCACCATGTCCACACGTGTCACCCCATGTCCCCACGTGTCACCTCTGT